TTCTTTGGAGATGGGCACCGTTGAAGAACTAAGCAATACAGGACACCCTGGCCCTGGCTTATGCTTTGCTAAGCATATTTCAATTTGACTTTATGTGAAAAGCCACTAAAAACATACATTGAAATATGCTGTTAAGGATATACAAAAATTTTACATTAAAGTGGTAACTACGTTGCATGCCAGCATGGGAAGTGCTAGAAGAGCTAAGCTAACTGATATCGCATTTTATGGTACTTGTCTGGTTTTTTTTAATATATGTCACTTCAAAAGAAATCATTTGCCTCTGATTGTGTGTTCATGTTGTCTTTGTAATTGAGCCTGGCTACTTGGATGATGGTAGTGTTACTGAAGAGAATTCTTGAGGAGAAAATATTGGTTATAAAATTACTTAGGAAGTAATACGGTGTTGAAAAGAATTATTAGGTTAAATTAAAAATAATCCTTGCCTATGAAAAGATGATATGGTAGACAGCAACTTCCCTATCGTGATGTTTGTTTTTTAGGGTGTCCTCTCTACCCTAAATATCATCATTAAGATAAGTGAGTCATAAAACTTTTTGAGTTCCACCTTCAAAGGTCTCTAGGCTCTGCCTTCCTCAGCAGAGTGACTATTTCACTTCCAGGTCCAGCTCTGTGACTGAGTCAAGTGTAACCCAGCACACAGAGAGAGAATTGGATAAGGCTCACCCATCCTCCCCAAGACTCCCAGTATTCACGTGCAGGAGGAAAGCTATTTTTATATAAGAAGGACCTTGTGTGCCAGGGAGAGATGATGAGGATGGAAAGTAAGAGGCAGCAGCAGGACAGAGAGGGGCGGGCAAAGAGGAGGCAGAAAGCCATCATGGGGGCAGGGGTGATAGTGGGGGCAGCTAGGTGGCACAGTGCATAGAGTGCTGGCCCTGGAGTCAGAAGGACCTGAGTTCAAATCTTGTCCTAGACACTTACTAGCTGTGTGACCTTGGGCAAGTCACTTACCCCTTTTGGCCTCAGTTTCTTCATCTGTAAAATGACCTGGAGAAGGAAATGGCAAACTACTCCAGTATCTTTGCCATGAAAACCCCAAATGGGGTCATGAAGAGGCAGACACAATTGAAAAATGACTGAAAAGAAAGCCATAATACGAAGAAGGGAATCCAGACTTTGCTCTTCAGTCATGTGGATCAGAGGTGTTAAACGCCCGCCCATGGGCTGCAAGAGGACCACAATACTTCTGAGCTTGGAACCAGATTCAAATTAGTAATTCGGAGATATTTAACAAAATAAATAAGCATACAGTAAAACGTCGATAATATTACATTTAAAACCAAGTCACTATGTGGCCTGCAGGGATCCTTATGTATGGATTACTGGCTGCCATTTTTATTTGATTTTGACATTGCTCATGGAAGTGATGGTCAGCTCTCTAGTCAGAGAGCTATATAGGTCCTATGAGAAGTAGGGTGGAGACATTTTCCTGGTTATCTCTAGGTTTGGGTATGGGTTTTCCTATGGTCTTGTTATTCAGTCATGTCTGACTCTTCATGACCTGTGGACCAAACTGTCCATGGGGTTTTCTTGGCAAAGATACTGGCATGGTTTGCCACCTTCTTCTGCGGTGGATTAAGGCAAATAGAGGTTAAGTGACTTGTCTAGGGTCACATAGCTAGTAAGTGTTTGAGGCCTTGAACTCAGATCTTCCTGACTCCAGGCCTAGCACTCTATCCACTGAGACTCCTTGTGATCAGTCAGCAGCAACCCATTACCTACTTTATCTGATGGGATGTACTTAAAAACAACTCACACACTTCAAAAATTTTATATATGTGATCAGGAAATGAAATGAACCCTTACTAAGTTAGAGAGCAGCTATAATACTCTTGTTTATCCAGCATCCTCAGAGGATGAGTTGTTCCTTTAAAAAAAATTTCTAGATAACTGAAGTTTGCCCCCTTAAATGACAAAATTTTTATTTTAATCACTTTAATAAAGGCCTTTCTCAAAACCATTGTTCAGGTTTTCTGCCTTAGTAAACAGATGGCCCTGAACAAACTTGAACTCTTCTTTATGACTAGAGATCATTATGAACATTGCGTATCAGCATCCTGAGGTATACATATGCTCCCAGTGGCTATTTGCCATATGTGGAACAATTCATTCCCATAATTCAATTCAACTTATTAAACATTGTTTGAAGACCTACTATGTGAAGAGCATTGTTCCAGGCACTGAGGGAGATAAAAAGATAAATAAAATGACCTGCTCTGAAGGAGCACAGAATCATATGTTTAGATCTGAGTAGAAACCTTCAAAGTCATCTAGTTCAACCCCCTCATTTTACTGTTGAGGAGACTGAGGCCCAGACAGGCACAATCTGTTAGACCAGGTAGCATTTCATCTAGTAGGGGAGAGAAAATATGTACACAAGCTACTGTGATATAAAGGAGGATGAGAAAATTGCATAAGCGAGGTAGAAATAAAGTATGGAGATAAATTCAGAGAGAAAGAGATTACTTGGCTTCAGCCTGCTCTATTGGTCTGAATTCCTCTGTCAACGTGAGTTCTCACTTCTAGCTTCTGCTGTTATATTTACATCCAACAAAACATCACCCCCAATTCCTTTCTAACATTCTACTATGGGACTCTAAGCCAGTTAATTCAGCTTATGCCTGTGATGTTTGTCTGATGGGTATCTGTCCAACAGATGCCACCACTTACCTTAGTAGACGAGTCCTAAGGAATTATCTAAGGCCCACTGACATTAAGGGACTAGCTCAGGGTTAATTCAATTCAACTAGTATTGGAGGAGGAGAAGGAAGAGGAGGAGGAAAAGAGGGAAGAGGAGGAGGAAGAGTAGAAAAAAGAGAAGGAAGAAGAGGAAAAGGAGGAAGAGGAGGAAGAGAAGGAAGAAGAAGAGGAAGGTGAGGAGGAAATGAAAGAGGAGGGGGAAAAGGAGGAAAAAGAGGAGTAGGAAGAAGAGGAAAAGGAGGAGGAGGAGAAAGAAAAAGAGGAAGAGGAAGAGAAGGAAGAAGAAGAAGAGGAAGAGGAGGAGGAGGAGGAGGAAGAGGGTATGTAGTATACAGAGAGTTGCCCTAGGAGTTAGTAAGACTGGATTTCGAGTCCTGTCTTGGACATATACCAGCCCTGTCTGTGATCCTGGACAAATCTCTTAGTTTCCCAGTTCCCCAGACAAACTCTAGGAGCCTAAGTGTCTACCTGCATTCATAGAGAATGTCTACATTTGGGAGCTTCTTCTATCAATGATAGATACCTATCTGCAACCCTACATATTTGAAAAAAAATCTTACTGATTTTTGTTGTTTTTTACGTCACATGGGTTTTCAGATATATACCCCCTCACCTCCTCCTCAGCAAGCCATTCCTTGCAACAAAGAATTAAAAAAAGAAAAAAAAACAGTCCAGTAAAACTAATCAACACATCAATCAAACCTGAAAGTATATTCAGTATTTATAGTATCTAACCTCTGTCCAAAGTCTATTTTATCTTAAATTAGAGCAAGTAGTGTCTGAGTGAAGGCCTGAGGGGCTTACTTAGGAGTAGTGTATGGGTTTAAATAATAACTCACTTAAAAAGTGATTAATTCACAACACCCTGGGAGGAAGGAGGAAAACAAACATTTATTAAGTGCCAAATGCCAGGCACCTTGTTAAACATTTTACAAATACGATTTCATTGGATCCTCACAACAACCCTGAGAGGAATACGTTATTAACCACATTTTACAGTTGAAGAAACTGAGGCAGACAGAGGTTAAATAATTTGCCAGGATCACACAGCAAGTGTCTGAAATTGGATTTGAATTTAGTCTTTTTGACTCCAGGCCCAAGGCTAAATCAACAGTGCCATGCAGCTGTCTATAAGATTAGGAAAAGCATAGCTCTCCCATTTTTCAGATATGGAAACTGAGGCTTCGCCTTAATTAAGAGATTTACCTTCAGCTTAGCAGTTAGCCCACCCAGTTTGATCTGGGACTCAAATCGAGGTGTTTAGCTCTCCAATTGAGCGATCTTTCCACTGCACCCAGCAGAGTCTCACAGTTACAAAGTGCTTTCATAAATATTATCTTATTTGAAACTTACAGCCACCTGGTGGGATAGTGCCTTGATGCTGTATCATCTGTTTTTGTTACTCAGAGGCCCTTTTTTTTCCTTTTTGCTTACTTCAGGGATCTTGTCTGTATTCTGAACAGTTAAATGTGCCCAATAAGTGACCTCTGGATACATGAAGTGTCACTGTAATAAAGATCTATTGTGATATTAAATTTTCCCTTGTTCCTACCTATTGAAGTTGGATAGATTAGGGAGAGAAGAATGTGCTTTCATCTTCCATATCAAAACACACAAACTATATTGACTCATCCTCTCACTAAGGTTTTATATCCTTATGCCAGGGCAGAAGCCAGGGGAAAAACAAAGAATTCTCTAACAAGACTCACTTGGCCTCTTTATTTCAGTGATCCTCAATTGCCGTCATATCTTTGCCATCTATTTGTGCATTCCCCAACCACCATTCAGATCTGATAGCCAAGAGCTTGTTTATACATTTTTCTTAAAAGACAAATTTAAAAATTCAAATTGCCACAACAATCTTTTAATTCTGACAGATGCTGTCTGTAGTAGTGGAGATTTTTGAACTAGGCTGGAATGGGTAAGAATGGGTTTTCTTTGCTCTCCATTCACTCTTTTGTGCCCTAGGCTGTGTGTCCCAGAACCATGAGGTCTTGACACAGCTCCTTTCAGCCTGTGCCACAGATTCCTGCCCAGAGGGAAACACACAAATTTCTACAAAAGGTGAACTGAACTGATGCACTTTAGGGTCCACAATCCTATACAAATGTCATAGCTCCAGAATCAGTCTCCAGTCTCTAAAATATGCTTTCCAGAAGTCTGGGAAAAGTTAAGAGTTCTGAGAAAAGTTGAGGGCAGAGGGAATGAGAGAAGGCTGATGAGATCACCCTGTGTCATGTCCTTCCTTGATACTGGTTGACGGAGACTTAGCTTACCACCTATTTCCAGACGGTGATGGTGGCAAATGAGTGGGAGGGTTCCAAACATGCTGCGGGTCAGGCTGCTTCCCAGTTGCCCCATGCTGGTGTCCTTGGTCCTTCTCAGCCCTGGTACAGTAATGGCAGAATACTATTGAAAATAGCAATGATGATGATGATAATGACAGTTCCATATTAACTTTAAAGTTTGCAAAGTGCTTTTAGAGACATTCTCTATTGATCTTCCCATCAATACAGCAGGGTCGGTACAAGTATTATTTCTACTTTGCAGATAAGGAAACTGAGGCATCTAGACCAGGGGTGGGGAACCGGTGGCCGAAGCCACAAAAGTGACTTGTCCAGGGTCACACAGCTAGCAAGTGTTCGAGGTGGATTTTGAGACCAGGTCTTTTTAACTTCAAGTTTAGTGTTCTTGCTACTAAACCAAGTTGCTCATGGTCACACAGAGGAAAGATATGAATTTGAGCCCTCCTAACCCTAAATCCAAAGCACTTGCTTTTGGAGAAAGGGGTATGGTTTTGTTTTGTTTTGTTTTACATTTCCATATGATTTTATTTTTTAATTTAAAAATTCAATCTTATTTTATTTTTGGCTCTGAATTCTTCCCCCCTCCCATCCACTGAGAAGGCAAGAAAAACAAAACTAATACAAATACGGATAGTGATATTAAACAAATTCCCAAATCTCCACTTCTCTCATTTCCTAATGACTCATTCCCCTCTATTCAATTCATCAACCGTTTATTAATCGTCTGCTATGTTCCAGGCACTGGGGGAATACAAAGGCAAAAATGAAACAGTCTCTGCTCCCTCAGCGTTTATATTCTACTGGATATTTACATTCAACTTATATCCATATAAGGAAATGCAATATAAATACACCTTGATTCTAGAATGAGGAGCACTAATAGATAAGATTTAGGAAATTCTCTTGAAGGAGGTGGTGCTTGAATTGAGTATAGAAGGAAACTAAGGTTTTCAAGTATACAGGTTTGGAGGGAGAGCATGCAAGGTATGGGGAACAGCTTATGCAAAGGCTTGGAGATGGGAGATAGAAAGTTTGTTGGGAACGGTTTAGCAAGAATGTAGGGTGATCAAGAATGTAGACTGTGTGAAGGGGAATGGTGTGTAATCAGCTTGGAGCCAGATTGTGATGGACTTTAAATGCCAAAGGAGATTGAGTTTTGTTTTATAGGAAACAGGAAGTTACCTTCTTGAACAGGGGAATGACTTGGCCAGACCCACACATCTGCCAGAAGAGAACCCTCTCTTAGAGTAGAGAAGTATAATTAAGTAAAACAAAGGGACATTCTCCTAGAGTCCACCTCCCCTCGGTAGAGAGGGCATGCTTTACTGTCATTCTTGGTATTGATTAGAGTTCTGAAGCCCTTTGCCGTTGTTTACCTTTACATCATTGTGCTCATTTGTAAATGTTCTCCTGGCTCTGCTTACTTTACTATCTATCAATTTATTTATGCCTTCCCAAGTTTCTCTGAAATCTTCATATCCCTCCTTACTTATAAGGCAATAACATTCTATCACATTCATATACCATATCAGTGTTCAGCTATTCCTCATTTGATGGGCACCTTCTCAGTTTCTAGTTCACTGACACTACAAACAGAGCTGCTATACATATTTTTATATATATGGGTCTTTTTTTCCTTTGTTTGATCTCTTTTAGGCTATAGACCCAGTAGATATACAGCTAGATCAAAAGGTATGCGCAGTTTATTAGCTTTTGGAGCATAGTTCTAAATTACTTTCCAAAATGGTTGGACCAAGTCACAGCTCTGTCAACAATGCTTTAATATTAGAGTCTGTTCTTGAGCCCTAAAGTATCTGTACTAGAAAAGGAGCTCCATTTGGAGGTCCAAAAGGACTTCCAAAGGTGTAAACCTTGAAATGCTGACACCACATTACAAAAAGATTTACCATCAACTTCCATTTCCAGAAGATCTGCTTTATAAAAATTCAATTTACATGTCATTTTCCAGAAACACGTGCAGAAAGCAGAATACAAGAAAAAATGTCATTCCAATCCATTCCACATTGATACTTTAAGGATCCATGTTCTTATTGGTGTGAGTATTCCTTCCACTTGTGCAGATCACAAATCTTTTGACATTTAATAGATGGTCTTTGAGAGGTGGCATGGCTCAAAAATTCATTCCTCCTACTGCCTTGTAGTGATGATCTTCTTTGAATTTATCCATGCTGGTCCTTAGATGACAGATAAAAAAAATTCATTACCAGGATTCCAGATCTCAAAGGCTTTCTGGTTTTGCTGGTAGTATCTGCCTCAGCTGGCCCTTCACTGGCAAAGGCATACAATGATAAGGTATCTCCAGAGCAGGGCTTTAATGAAGGAATGAAAACTTTTCATGGTAGGCTTTCCAAATTACTTTGCTTTGGTAGAGTTGCTATTTAAGAACTGTAACAGATAAAATTCATTGCTTGGGAAGAACAATGAATATTTGCAAATTCACTTGATTTGAGAAGTGGTGTGGTAGAGTATAATGGGAAGAACACTGGATCTGAGAGTCAGAGGACCTGGACCTAAGTCTCAACTTTGCTACTAGTTGTGTGATCTTGGTCAGATTTTTTTTAAGCTCTCAGCCTCAGCTTTCTGATTTGTGAAATGAGGATAATGATACTTGCAATGCCTGCATTGCTGGGTTATTGTGAGAAAAGCACTTTTCACACTATAAAATGCTATGTAACAGAATGGATATCATCACCATCATCGTCGTCATCATTGTCATCATCATCATCATCATCATCATCATCATCATCATCATCATCATCATTGTTGTTATCTCACTTCCTGGCCTGGTTCACCATTTCAATAGTGTTATTTTTGGCTTCTTAAAATTACTCCCTTGATCGTATCATACATATTATAGACTCTCCCCACCCCACCTCCAAGTTGAGAAAGATCTCCCAGATCCCATTTCCAGGTCTTCCCTACCTTCTCAAGTCCAGCTTTGGGACTTTAGAACATTGCTGGAGAAAGTTATAAGAATGGGAGGCATTGATTCACAAGTTTGCTCTGTTTTTTCTTGACTGAGTTGACTTCAGCAATGACTTGTTGTTATTGTTGTTGCTATTGTCATTCATTTGTGTCTGATCTCTTTATGGGATATTCTTGGCAAAGATAGTGGAGTGGTTTGCCATCTCCTTTTCCGGTGGTTTAAAGCAAACAGAGGTTAAGTGACTTGCCCAGGGTCACATAGCTAGGTAGTGTCTGATGTTTAATTTGAACTCAGGTCTTCCTGACTCCAGGCCCAGTTCTTTATCTACTGAGCCACCTTGCTGCCTCCAGTAATTCTTCTATTAATCTCTTGTTGAGTCCCTATGATTGAACTTTCGAAGGTCGCTTCAAATGTTTTTTATATCCCTCAAGACCCCAATCCTTGACCCTATTCTCCTCACTCTTAACAGATGACCTCTGAGACCAGGGCAGGCTGATCCCTAATCTCTACTCTTCCTCACATCCTCAACTTTTCAGAATTTCTTTGTGTCTTCCATCATCCTCTTCTTCCTCTCTCCAAGATAATATTTCTCTTGTTCTTGTGTTCTTGATTCCCATCCTTTCTTGTATCTTCCATCCAACAACTATTTAATAAATACCTACTATATACTACTTATACTACATACAACACACTGTGTGGGACTGGGGGGAATACAAAAATTAGTAAGTCAGTTTTTGTCTTCATGGAATGTATAATCTAGTATGGAAGACAAGACATGCATGCAAATAAGTGTAACCTAAATCAGAATATGACACGTGCTGGAAGAAAGCCAGTATACTGTAATGGTTAGGAGCTAGCCTTGTAGTAAAGGAAAAACTAGGTTCAAATCCCTCCTGTGACACAATCTGGCTGAATGACCCTAGGCAAGTTAGTTAACTTCTGTGCCCCAGGAAACTTTCTAAGTTTATGAGTTGCATTGGTAGAAGGAGTTATGAACTCAGAGTTCCCATTCCAAAAAAATCACAGATCTGGTAAATGTACACCCCCAAAACTACTGAACCTCTAAATGTAAGATCCTTATCCAATGACTAACAAGTTGACATGAATGAGGATATGAATTATATTAGTATCAACATTCTCTTTATAAATGAAACCAGAAAATATAAGGAAGTTCCAGTTAAATGAAAAGATGACTCAAAAGTTCTCCTTGGAGGGGCAAATAAAGAAGTTAGCTTTGTCAGATGTCCAAAGGCAATAAGAAATATTTCTTGGGACACTTGGTCATTACTCATTGAAATACTTAAGAGGAACAGTAACAAAAAGACCACCATGAACAGATAGCTGTAGTCCAGATGTCAACATCTGTGGCAGAGGATGAGAAGGTAGAGAGATTCAATGGAGAACTCAAGAAGACCCTACAAATTAAGCAATATGCACTTTAAGAGAGAATTTCCTCACTGGGAGCTCCCTACACCAATGAAATCACAGGTCGGAGAAAAAAATACTTTAACACTCAATGACTCCACTGGAAAATTGGGCATAGGGGAAGAGTTTGGTGGTCCAAACTAAACAGTGTTTCCAGGCTGGGCAGTAAGTCAATAATAATGATAATGACAATGATAATCTTCGTTCCCACACATAGCGTTTTGTAGAGTGAAAAGCACTTTCCTCAAATAATCCAGCAATGTAGACATTACAAATATCTTTATCTCCATTTCACAGAGTAGAAAACTGAAGCTGAGTTTAAATAATTTGGCCAAGAACTCATAGCTAATAGCAAAGTTGAGACTCAAATTTAGGTCATCTAACTCTCAGATTGAAATGTTTTTTACATGCCTCAACACTTGAACACTACCTTCCCCCCCTCCCAGTTATGGCTCAGGATCAAGAATTTAAAAAAGCTAAAGCCTTGTAGACTACATGGAAGCTTCATGCTTATATCTGATGAATACTTTCTTTAAGATGAGAATTGGGAGGCACTGGAGATGGTGAGCATGAATAACATTAAAAAATGAAATTATCTTAAAATATGGGCAGCTTTTGGTTGCTAACATGGGAGTCATTTTTAATTTAGGGATCTGCAGTCAGATTATTGACTTGTTATAGCAATGGTAACAACAACAAAGTTAGAAGA